ATGGATTTAATTATTGGGATGGAGGACGAAAGGGCACCATATAAAACTAATTGTACGCAAGTAAGTAATTATATTTTTAAAGTTATTGCCAATTCTTCTGCCTATTCTCTAATTGTTCTCTCTCTCTCACTCTCTTTATATACATTTTTTGGGCTTCCTATTTACGATGTAATTTATGATGTAATTTACGGTGTTAATTACAGTGGAATTTACGGTGGAATTTACAGTGGAAATTATGGTGGAATTTACAGTGGAAATTACGGTGGAATTTACGATGTAAATTAAAGTGTACATGTAATTGGCGGTGTAATTTGCGGTGTACATGTAATTTGAAAATACAATGCGTTTCTAAAAGGAGACTGTGTTACTGGTGTAACAGTATGTTTATTTGTACATGTATTATTTATTTTATTCATACGTATCAATATAAAAATGATTCTCGAAAAATCTACTTTTTAGGATAACAAAAACGCAGTAATGTCATTTGTTACTTTCTTGATTGTCGTCGTTTACTATTAATCTAAGATTAGCGTTAGTATTACATTAATGTTAACGTTTCTGTTCACGAGTGTTTGTCACACGGGTACGCAAAACGTTATATTTTCCTCTAGTTACGTACTCTTCTTAAAAATGATATACGCTACATACGTACATCGTATTTTGATACATCAAAAAATGTGTATTGTTATGGATATTTTATTTTCACCTTCATCTACCACTACTTGAAGGCTAAATGGTTTAGATATCGACAATCTAATAAAAGAATGCATGAAAATCAGAAAGCATCTCTTTTTGAAAATTCACCAATGTTGAATACGTGTCTTGGATCAGTTTATGGTTGCATGGGATCATGAATTTTATCCTTTTAATGTGATAATGCATATATAAAGTAATGCTTACCAGTTTCAAGCATGATATTGGAAGTGTTTCATCATGGAGTTGTTGCTCTTCTTGAAAGAAACTCGATATATCTCCATTCACGTTGATTTCTGTTTTACAACACCAAGAAATTAAAGAGCTTAATGAAAAAAATAAAAGGATCTTTTTAGCGTTAGTATTAGATGATCCCGAATAAATACACAGTGAAACTCGATATAGCGGATTTGATCTATAACGGACTATTTTTTGGAACCAGCTATAAATAGCATTATATAAATTTTGTCTGTTATAGCGGATCCGTCGATTTACCGGACAGCATGGCAGGAACCAGTGTTTGAAATCTGGTGTTCTCGCGTTCTCATGAGAACAAGGATCCGGGATTGTGCACTTTGAGTTGAGAAACAGTGTTCTCTATCTGTTTGATTTTTGTGCACACCAAAGTAAAAATCGAGTGCACTACTATTCTGATTCATAAATATAAAAAACAATGAGGCACCTTTTCCCTCTGGCCTCCAACTGTCTTCGGAATGAAACTTATGACCAATTACATTTCCAAACATCTTAAGAGATTTCTTTGTACCATCATTAACCCAGTCGGAGAGGAGGCTAAAGCGAAATTCCCGTGTACCGTAATGTCGATCCTATACGTAAATAACGATAATCGATTTTCAATTTGAGAATCGATTCTCAAGTAGATCTGTTCTATCAAACCGCTATATACATATTTAATCGATTTCGTTCATGTGTACGTAATTAAGTTTCCCACATCTGAAAATAGACATTCAGATGGAACTGATATGGCAGGAATTGATTTTCAACCCAAAATTGATTCTCGAACACAAAGTAAGTATGACGATGACAGCAATAACGACGATGACAGCGAGGACATAACTGGTCTTTAGTTTTGTTTTTCATTGCATGTTGATTTTTCCCATTTTCGTTGGAATAGTTGAAGTTGTACTTTGATTATAATTTGATTAGTTGAAATTATGGTTTTGATTAGTTGAATTCGTAGAGATACTACGTGGTGTAGATAGTGATTCGTAGAGATACTACGTGGTATAGATGTTATACGTCGTTTCGGGCCAAAGTATTTAGCACCAAATGATCTTCAAAAATTTCTAAATTAGAATTTAAGATACGTACTTATCGTTATCGTTATGTATATGATAATTCAAAATCCGAAATATTTAGGATTTTGAAAAGTATTTTAGCCCGAATCATTAGGTATAGAATCAATTGAATATTGTCATCAGATTGAGAATCCGATCAATATCAGTCACTTTTGGTATTAGTATCACTATCAGAGTTATTAAACTTTATATTGGCAATGGTTTCTTGGTTATTATTAATATTAACATTGTTGTTTTTGAATGACAGAGTACATAGTTTGTCGTGCGCTATATCATTTGCATGTTTTTCACAAGTGAAAATCATGAATTTCCAATTGCATGTATCACGTACACGATTTATGTATGCATTATCGTTATCGTTATTAATCGAGTTTGTCTTTAAAAATATTAATCGATTCTACAAAATTAATCGATTCTCAGAATCGATTCTAAATTAATCGATTCCTATCACTATCTGATGCTTATAAATATTGGTGCAGTTCAATTTTTCGTTAAATTTGTAAAATAATTTTATAGAGAACTTTAAAAAATTTTTGAGAATACTGGTTCAAGCTATTGGGTTCTCTTGAGAACACACTTTTGCTCCTAAATTTCAAACACTGGCAGGAACGGAGGGGTCTGTTATATCGACTTTCACTGTGTAACTTGAATATGCTTAAAAAAGAATAATTTTTTAATATTAAATATTTAAAATAATAAAAAATTAGCATATATTATTTTCAGTCCAGAATTCTGAAATTTTGTTGATTAAAATATATTTGATAGTACTATAATTATTTAAAATAAAAATATTTTATTAATTAATGTTTATTTTTATTAATTATTCATTTTTAAAAATTATAAATCATACTAATGATATTCAGTATCACAAAAAAATAAAAATTTATTAGTTTAAATTACAATATGGAATAGATATAAGGTATCTTAATTCAAAAATTTTGCAAGGAATATTTTTTGTTATATATAAAAAGCAATTTCATAGGTAGAATTTTGAGATACAGGTCATTTTTAAAAAATTTGGTTTCTCTTTGTTTTGTTTTGAATTTTTTCATTATACATCAATTCTATAATTTGATTGATTAAATGTTTTGATCCTGTGATCTGATTGATTTAATACTAGTGTTCAATATCAGTGATGTGATTTAGTAACATTATTTATTTTTTAAATAAAAAATAATATGGTACTGGAAATTTATAATTATTAATCATATAATAAAAAGTAAGATAATATTCTACTTAATACAGAGATAATTTTAAAAGAATAAACTGAGAACTTTGTAATTTGAGTTATACTTTATAAAGTTAGTTTTTTAAAAATTTTTTCTTGTAAAAAGTTTTAGTGGTTTAAAGATAGCTTATTTTTATTATGTGATTGGCAATTATAGATTTTTAACATTATATTCAAAGATATTATTATCTATTATTAAATAACATATTTTTCTTTGTATTTTTTACATTTCTAATAATTAAAAAATTAAAAAATAATTAATTATGCTTTTTTTTATTTATTTATTTTTTTAATTTACTAATATAGAGAGAGAGAGAGAGAGAGAGAGTATAGACACATATCCGCCAGCATATAGTAATACACATCCTTTGGGAATAGAAAATATATATTATCATATATGTGTGTATCAATATAAATACCAGAAATATGAATGTTAATGTTATTATGAATCAGATATTAATGTCAGATATAAAAATGGATTCCTAGAGAGACATAATTATAATCTAAATTAGTTTCAGTTATATTCCTAAATTATATTATCAGTTTTAGGACCCATCTTTAGCCAGATATCAGAAAATATGGATGCAGAGTACCGAAGAATATAGATTGATATTAGTACTGAATGCTAGAAAAATTGATTGGCTAAAAAAGAAAGAGAGAGAGAAGAGGAAAAGGAAAAGAGATAAGAAAAGAGAAAGAAATCTTGATTTGAATAAAGCTAAAAAATACCGAATATATATAATAAATTCAATAATTTATTATGCTAGTTTAATCATGCTTTTTTATTAATGTGCATGATGTAATAATGTTGCGTGTTCCATTTTGTATAATTTATTACTATTGTGTGTTCATTTGTAGCTGGGTTTTACGTAATTATTCCATCAAAATAATAATTTATTTTATTATTATTATTATCATTATCATCATCATCATACTTCATGTACGTACATTGATATCGATCAATATTTTTATTTTTGCTAATCATAAATTCGTGATATACATGTAGATAACATCCAACACAGCGCTCATTTCCTTGGCAACAAGTACCGGTACATTAACTATAATCATGAGTATTGTCAACTCATCGATTATAACAGTTCTTACTACAATCATGAATATTGTGAACTGAACATGCTTTGCAGAACTCCATCCTTGAAAATAAACACATTTCCAACGATCATGAGTATTTGAAGTTTTAGATGTCATCTTTGAGTTTATTTTATCATTATGATAGTATTTTATATAAAAAATAATGATTTATATCGATGTGTGGAAGTCGTCGTTTGTATCGACTTAGCGTTAAGAACGATGATTTATTTCGATGTGTGGATATCATCATTTGTGTTTGTATCGATTTATGCAAATACTACGTACACCCACGAAACAATAAAGATAGAACACATAAAAAAAGAGAGCTTTTATAACTTTGTTGTTGTATGTGACAATAGCAGTCTAACTTGCAGCGAACTAATCAGAAGTTCGATGTTATCATAATTTTTATTTTACCGTCAACGTTAAATTAATCAGTCGTAATCGTAACATGTTTGATCCTACAATTATTTCATTAACCATTACCATATAGTCAGAGTGGTTTCATATATGATAGACACTGATAGCTATTTATCGCTATGGAGTTATAGTATCGGTATCCAGTGGCAAACTTGATTTGTTAGTTGCTTCTGATGTTCTGGAAGATTTGATTGAATGTATTCAAGAATATCTTTTGGAAGAATGTTCTGAATCCATGGTTGAAAATTTCGCTATGGTCAATCAAGTTGTTTTTTCAACACAGCTTTCGTCAAACTTCAGGAATTCTGTACAGAAATTGCATGTAAAAATCCGGCCGCAGTTTTTCAATCCAGCGATTTTGTAGAAATTCAAGAAACAGCACTCATCTCTTAGCTCAGATGAGATGATTTGAAGCTTAAAGAAATTGAAAAGGTTCTGGAGTGAGAAATCGTACAAATGTCAGCTTCTAGCAATGTCGACTTATCGATTCCAGTGGACCTATGGTTACAAAACGAATTCAACGAACTTGGAACTACACTTAAAAATTGTCTACCATTCTTTTAAAACTCTGTTGATTTCTATAATAAAGTGATGCTGTACTCGGAACCATTATTAAAAAAGCTCTATAAATATTTATTACATCATTACTTGGTACCTAGAAATGAAAAACGACAAGCGTCACTTCACCTCACCTACTCACTCTTTTTCATGGTCAAACTGATAAAATGATTCAATGGATAAAAGAACAAGATACAATGGTCGAAAGGGGGCATTTTCACCTGGACAAAAATCGATATAAAATGCGAGTAATATGCATATCGATATGTTTTTAGATCGATATTGTGTTTCTAGTTAATCTCTGCGGCTTAGCTTGACTTTCTTCGAGCAATACTGGATCGAGTGATATCGATGCTATAACATACGTAAATACGTAGTTATCGATATCGTTGTTAATGGACATGTGATTGTTTGTCCAATTTTCGGGATGATACATAAACAAAGTTAGAAACTAATAAAACAATATGCAAATGATGAATATCTTGTGAAAGGAGATTATTTGTAAAGCAACCTGCCTGGCTTGGTTGGACGGATCATTGACTAAAATATGGAATCTACATGTACGTAATTCAAAAATAAACAATTTCTAAAGAGTAAGCATGATGTTTTTTTATTTTCTGATGCAATTAAATTGTTTCAAAGATTCAGACAGCTCTAAAGTGCGCCTATGGAATATCTCAAAACCCAACTATGAATGAGTACTCGATAATAATGAAAAAATTCATGAAGAGGGTTTTGTGCATCGTAACTTCGACCCTGGCAATATACTATTGAATTGTAATATTGCTCGAATTGCTGATTTTGGGAATCGGTTAAAGCGTAGTCCATCCGATAATCTGTCCGAAAAACAAACTAATGAGGATGCGTAAATTTTTAATCAACCTGGCAAAACAAACTTGAAGCAAAGACAAAAAGGTGCTTAAATCTTTCT